TGACAGATGGCAGAACAAGGAGCAATGGTCTCAAGTTGTGGTGGGAGAGGTCCAGGTTGGATATTAGGAAAAACTATTTCACTAGGAGGGTAGTGAAGCACTGGAATGGGTTACCAAGGGAAGTAGTGGAGTCTCCATCCCTAGAGGTGTTTAAGTCTCGGCTTGACAAAGCCCTGGCCGGGTTGATTTAGTTGGGATTGGTCCTGCCTAGAGCAGGGGGCTGGACTTGATGACCTTCTGAGGTCTCTTCCAGCTCTATGATCCCCTCAACTCCCATTGGTCACGATTCTTCCCAGCCAAGGTAGCTGCAAAATCTGCTATTCACCGGAAATACTGATCCCTGACAAAAGTCCCTGGCCAGAGACCTCGCCTGCAAAATTCCTTGTCTACCTCAAACACCGATCCCTGTCCAAATTCTCTGTTCATCCCGAACACTGACTCCCACCTGCAAAACCCACAATACCCATCCATTTCCATTCCGTATGGAGACTGGAGCCCTCACCCCTCCTATATCTACCCCAACTCCCATCTCAAGCCAGAGCCCCTCCCCCTTAGGCCCCCCACCTCTGCCAAGAGCCCAACATCCTACCCCAACCCTGAGCCACCTCCCACACCCAAGCTCCCGCCCGTAGCCCAACCCGCACCTCAGCCCAGCGCCCCCCCCCAAGCGCGGCACGCGAGCGAGGGAGAGACGATTGAGAGAGGGGGCGGGGCGCTCGCTTTCTGTACCTGCAGCGGAGTCCGGCCTCCGGGGCGTGTCCCTGGCTGGCCGGACCGCCAGCTCCCGCCCGCTGCCCGGCACCATGAAGCGCTGGCTGGGGCTGGGCGCCCGGCTGGGGCAGGTGGCCCAGGCCCGAGGGCTGCAGGGCGGCGCCGAGGCTTACAAGGCGGTGTCGGTGGAGGTGGGGAGCAGGTAACGAGGGGGCTGCTGGGGGGGAAACCGTCCGCCCCGGGATCTCGTTTCCCCTCCACCGGCCTCGGACCGTGTCCTTCGCCTCTGAATCCCGGTGGCTTGGGCAAGACCCGTCCTGTATCCCAGCTTCAGTACAGATCTCTGGCCTCCCACTCCCCATCCCCGCCCCCCACGCCCTGCTAGAGCCATCTGCGGAGCAGGTAACGAGGGGGCTGCTGGGGGGGAAACCGTCCGCCCCGGGATCTCGTTTCCCCTCCACCGGCCTCGGACCGTGTCCTTCGCCTCTGAATCCCGGTGGCTTGGGCAAGACCCGTCCTGTATCCCAGCTTCAGTACAGATCTCTGGCCTCCCACTCCCCATCCCCGCCCCCCACGCCCTGCTAGAGCCATCTGCCCCTCGCTGCTCTGCCCCCTCACAAAACAATTCCTCCTGTAGGTGTTCTCCGCGCCTCACTTCTTCCGCTCCTCCCCACTCCCATTGCTTGTCACTTTTTTCTTTCTCTGACTCTACAGTGGCTTTCCGTCAGGCTGTGCCCCCTTGATCTCTGCTCCCCAGTGCCCGTTCGTGCCCAGTATCTGCTGAGAAGTGTGTGTTAGGAGGCGGGAGGGCCTGTGTAGCTTTGCCTCAGCCATCCCTTTTCCACCCTATAACATCCTAATGTGCAGCTAGTGGAGTTAAAGATAGACAATAATTGCTAAACTTGTTTAAAATCTACTGGCCTCCTGTTCTTTTTATTTTTATGTTTATTGCATACAACTGATGTGCTGCTTCTCAGTAGCCCTTGCAATATATTGTTCTGGTGATAAAGTGATCTGAAATTAAAGTCCTCCCATCACAATGGCTAAGGTTGCCCATGTCATGGTGAAACTGGTGTTAAGTTGTGTTGGTATTGTATAAAGTAGAAAGATATTAATACTTTATCCTTAAATGGCTTGTGTATCTCACAAACAGTCATCCATATGTGGCTTCTTCCTGCAGTTTAAAGCATAGTGGCTGCCTCCCTTTCCCTTCATTTTGATGGCTTTTATTAATACATTTTAACAAAGGAGTTTGAAAGACTAGGGACCTGATTCCAGGTCCACAGGAATAAGTGGAAAAACTCCAGTTGACTTCACTGGGTACTAAATCAGGTTCCAATCAGCTGAAGTAAATAAGGAAATTGAATGTCATTTAAACTTTATCAGTAAGCGCTCGTGTACATAGTTGCCAAAGAATGGGCATATTTGTGTGTATTCATATAAAATGTGTATATCAGATCCTCCACTGCACTTTTTCTATTAACATACTGCCTACTGTGACTGAGAAAAAGTGTGTCTGGGGGATGTAAACGTGGGGGGTGTAAATGTGTGGTTTTTTTTCCTTGCATACATACACCCTCTCATTTTGTGATGATCTTTATTTAATACATTCAGCCTTGAGACTAATGAAAGCCAATAATAGGCTTCTTAAAACTCTAAAGTGTAGGAGGGATTGGCTGGCTTCCAGTAGCAGACAGAAAAGTGATGGTCAACTTGCTGGCTGCATGCAGTCCGTTTTGGAAATCTGATTATGGGCCACAAGATATATTGCTAACACTGACTTTCTGCGGCTCCCAGTTGTCATTGTTCTCTGTTCCCTACCAGTGGTGGTGTCTGCAAATAGTGTCTGCAAAATGTCATGCAGCCCACAACCAGATTACCCTCATGGGCCAGAGATTGTCCACCATTTACTGATACAGAGCCTTTCACCTCTCAATCACTGGTTCAAATCTAGTCAAATTCAGTACCGACAGAGTTATTACTGCCTGGCTCTTACATTGCAGATGTGAAACCTGGATGCCACATGACTTACTACCTGATGCAGAAGGCAATTACAGTAGAGAATACAGGATGGAATTAGTTTGGAATTTAAGGATTCATCTACACTACTATGCATTTGGACAGAGGGTGGGAGGAATAGCATGCACGTCAAAATGTTGTGCTGTGATTCCCGCATATGGATATACAGACATTAATATAAAAGGTGTCTACTTCAAGCAAATGTTGCCTGCTTCAAACAGAATTACATTACTGCTAACTAGAAACTTCTTAGTTCATTCTCTTAGCATCCATGCGGGAGAGTTATAGCACATCACTTGAGTATGCACTGTTATTCATTCTCTTCCTACCTCTTCTCCTCTCCTCCATTGTTCATACTACAAGGCACTGTAGACATTGCCTACATTTTTCTTTCATCTTAGAAAGTGGTCATTTCTGGAACCAAGACAAATTGCTGATCATTATGGCAGCTTGTATTCTTATTTTCTATTCTGTTGATTCAGATTTCAAGTATCCAGACTTATCAAAGCAAGTTTCTCTCATGAATAGTAAATATAATCAATATTTTCTAAAATATGAAACATAAAATATAAACATATTTATAGTTGAATAGGGAGGTATTGGTAAACTGGCCCTCATTTGTCACTAATGGCAGATATCCTCTTTAACAGAAATTTGAAAATTTCCTCAGGAAAACTGGCCAGATTTGCTGATGGATGTGCTGTAGTGGAGGTAAATATCTATGCAAACTCAAAATGTGTATGTTAACTTAGATAAATGTACTGTTTTTTGTTGAGATGTCTCAGCCAGTTGCATGGCAATAGGAGTCTGTCTGAATCCACAGTCGGCTACTGCATGGAAAACACTTTTTGCAAGGTTTTCAGAAGCCTCACCAGTGCACCGTGGATTTGTGTATTTCTCTTCACTTGAAAAATTCTCTGCTGAGAAGTGAAAATAAACGATACATTTATGAAAATATCTTTCCTAAAACTAATTTAACTGTTTTTAATCAAGTTAGGTGATACATCAGTGATGGTCACAGCAGTCAGTAAAACAAAGCCTTCTCCATCTCAGTTCATGCCTTTGGTGGTAAGTATTAATTGTAATTATGCAAACACAAATTGATAATGATAAATAATAGTAGAGAAGTGGAACTTGAGTCCTCAGATATTTCAGTTGCGTTTTAATGTAAATTGTTCTGTCTCTGTGGCTATCTGAAGTAGAATAGCTATTAAATTCAGATGTATTATCATCTGACCTTCTTATAGTAGTGCAGGTTGGAACTCCTTGGTCCAGTACCGTTGGGACCTGAGCGGTCCCGAACCAGGGAATTTGCTGGACCAGGGGAGGTCAATGCTCCCTTACTAGCTGCCCCACTCCTGAGCTTCCAAGGCTGGGTCTCTCACCCTGATGCTGTCCCCACTGCTGCCAGGGTTCCCCGGACCACCCAGCCACTGACAGCCCCGCTCAGAATTCTTCCATCCAGTTACTGCTGGGGATTCCCCAGGTTTCCTGGGCCAAGACTTCCCTGTTGGCACCTGGTTCCACTGCTGTCGGGTGTTCTCTGAAGCCGTCTGGCCAACCCAGCCCCACTGCCTCTAGGGATTGGGTTCTCCAGCTGGGGCTTCACAGTCCCGCCTGCCCCCGATGATGCCAGGGAGTTTCCTGGCCAGGGCCACCCATCCCGCTACCTCCGGGGGTTCTCTAGTCACCTGGCCACCCCACCCCCACTGCCACCAGGGATTTCCTGAGTTCCCTGGCCCAGATAAAGCTGGGGAGTTCCCTGCTGGGGCCATCTGGCTGCCCCTGACCCCACTGCAGGGGCCAGTCCTGCTCTTGCTAGGGGTTCTCCAGGGTTGTGCAGCCCAGGGCCGGCTGGCTGCTGCTCCAGTGAGTTCCCCAGCCAGGGCAGGAGCGCCTCTCTGCCTGGCTTGGCTGACACCAGAGTTCCCTGGCCAGGGTCGGGGCTCCCCGATAGTGGCCTGGTCCCGCTAATTTTGGGGGTTCTACAGCTGGGCTGGGGCTCCCCAGTTGCCACCTGACCCAGCTAGGGCTCCCCAGCCCTGTATTCTCCAGCTGGCTCCTGCCCACATCTCTGGGGCAGTTTGTCTAGCAAAATCCATGACCCTGCTGGACCACGGATGTTGCCAGACCAGAGAGTCCCAGATTAGGGAGGTTCAGCCTGTACTTTAATAAAGAACAGTAATTATAGTTTTGTTTACGAATCCTTGTTTTGTTCTATAAGGTTGACTATCGCCAAAAAGCTGCTGCCGCAGGAAGGATTCCTACAAACTACCTCAGAAGAGAGCTTGGTTCCACTGATAAAGAGATTCTCACAAGCAGAGTAATAGGTAGGACGAAGACTGAAAAGACAGTGTCCAGCACTTTCTTTTTGTTGTTTGTAATATATACACTGAAAGATTGAAAAAAGAGGGCTATCTGTAACCATTGCTTTCAGTGAATATTGCCTCTGTAGCAGTTTTGGGAGAATAGTATGCCTTAAAGAGCTGCTAAGTTCAGAACCATTTATCCTTTGGGGCTCCATGCACATTCTTTATATGAAAGCCCAAAATATCTAAAAGCTTGTGAGATTCTCATTTGCTATTGAGATTGTAATTTCTTGTGCCTCAGCCTAGAGAGACATCATCTCCTGGAGCTAATTTTGTCAGGAGGGATGGAAAAAGAGACAACCAAATAGTTTTCTGAAGAAATAGGGAGAAAAGGAGACAGATCGTTTGGCCTAAATCAAGATGGGGAATCTAAGGCCCAGGGGTTGGATGTGGCCCCCAGCTTGCCTAGATCCGGCCCCCAAGACTTGAAGCTCCCCCCAGCATTGGGGAACCTGCACCGGTGCTCCAGTCTCCATGGGGCTGGAGCACACAATCTACTAGCCTGGGCCCCCCCTAGGCTCTGGTGTGCAAGAAAAATGTGGACAGTGTCTTTCGCTATTTAATTCAGGAGCAACCCTGCGTCGGTGAGGGTTTGGTTTGATTGGTTGGTTTTTTTTGCTTCTCACTTGTGTGCGGCCCCTGACTAATTTTTTTTCTGTAGCTCAGTGGCCCCCAACCCAAAAAAGGTTCCGTTGACGGAGCCATGTAGATTTGTTTGTTTGGCAAAGTCAGATGAAGCCGCGATTTAAATGATCGCGGCTTCATTTAAATTTACATGGCTGCCGCGCTGAGCCCACTACTGCTGTGGGAGGGGGGTTATTTTCCGCACTGGAGAAGGGCAGGGAAGTCTAGCCCATGTAAGGTTACGGGCTAAATCTGCCCGTAACCACCGCTCCCCTGCCGACATCAAAGCCCTTTGTGTAAACCTCATCCCACGAGGAATAACGGGGCTGCCGACAAAAGGCTTTGATGTCGGCAGGGGAGTGTCCAGACTAGCGCGCTGAGCAGACAAACAGCTGATCAGCTGTTTGTCGGCTCAGCGCGGCAGCCATGTAAATTTAAATGAAGCCGCGATCATTTAAATCGCGGCTTCATTTGACTTTGCCTATGTGTCTAATCTACATGCCTCTGCCGACAGAGGCATGTAGTCTAGACACAGCCTTAATGTATCCTCCTTTCTCATTGTCTGAAAAATCGTATCCAAGATGCCCAAAACTTGTCTCATGAATGAGATGATGGAAGCGTATGGCTCAATGTTTGTTAAAACTACGCGGGGTCCCAGCTATAGGTCGCCCTGGTATACAACCATTTCACACTAAAGTTGTTGCCGTTTGTAGGAGCTGATGCGTTGTAAGTTTTCTGATTCCCCACTATAAGTCGTGCAAAACACTCCCTCCAATTTGCTTAAATGGAAGTCAGCTGTGGGAAAAAAAATTCCCCACTTAAGTTGTTTTGGTGTAAGTCCAAGTTTTTTGGAATGTATCTTGGGCTTATAGGGAGGGCCCCCTGTAGCAGGACTTACTCTTAAGAAGGGATAGGATTGTAAACAGTAAGCTCTAGTCACTATGCAGAGGTATATTAATAAATCAGACTGAAAAATCAATTTAAAAAAATACAACACTTGCATAATAACTTCACTATTGAGTTGTGTTGCTTTTCATTACATGTCATCATACTAGAAGCTCTCTGAAGCTAGGACTTGACCTTTGTTTATGTCTGTAAAGCATCCAACACATTTATACTGCTACTAATAAATACTCATATTTTCAAAATGTGTTCTTTTCAGCAGCAGATAATTAGTGAGCTTCTTATGTATCCATCCTTCAAAAGTCAGTTTGGACATAATTACTGATTGTTAGTGTTTTCAAGGCCCTTTGAGATTCATGCTCTTAAATAGGAATTTTCAGAGAAAGTTCTAACTGGATAAAAATGGCAGTTTTTCATATTGATGTTTTAGTGACTTTTTTTTAAAAACTTCATTATTACTGGATTGGGTCCTTGATGGAGTTTCTGGAATAAGATTTACTTTATGCTGAGCCTAAAACAACAGAGCAAGGCTATTGTAGGGTTTTTTCTTTATGAACACTTTATCTTTCTTGGTTAGTTTAAAAAAATGAAAAGATAGGCTAGTTCAGGGTTTCTCAACCTTTTTTTTATAAAGTACCCCCTTTTTTAAAAAAAATGTATAAGTACCCCTTTAAAAAAAATTAGAAGTACCCACAATTTCCAGGCGCACACATTTTTTTACCATTGCAACACATTTGTTTAAACAACTTAATCGTAGCTGGGAGGGCAATGACATTTTTGGGTGTAAAAAATAAAAAAAAATAGTAAAGTGCTGTAAAACTTAAAACAAAAATTCAGTTTTCTCCAAATTTCAGTTGTGTTAATATACCCCCCCAGACTTTTCTCGAGCACCCTTATGGTTATTCGTACCACTGATTGAGAAACACTGGTCTAATTGACACTTGCAATATAACCATTTTTAGGCAGGTAAGTTTGGTGGTTTTCTGAGTCCTTGCTCAAAACCGATTCCAGTTAGATGTACATGTGCTGCATGCACAGTAATCAGAAAGTTTTTCCCTTAGTAGCACCCACTGGGTCAGTTGTGGAACCTTCTGGAATGGAGCATCCATCATACTCAACATATGACTCTGCACCTCTTTAGATCCTTCTTACTACCAGTGATAGTCATTGGAACTGCGGTGGCTTGTTTAGCAAGTTCTTTTCTTGTTTCCCTAGCCTTTCATTTAATTGTAGTCTTAGTATTGGTTTTAGTTATAGTTAATTAGCATTTAGTTGTTGTGAGTGTGCGTTTCCCCTCTACCCCAACTGCTAATTTCCCCTCGGAAACTTGGGGTATGCCTGAGTCCCAAAGGTTCAAACACTGCAAGTCCTGCAATAAGCTCATGCCAATGGGCATCTCCCATGACACTTGTTTGAAGCATATGGAGGAGGTGCACATCCACTTGCTTTCCCCTCTGTCAGAGTAGGTGGCAAGAAGGAAGTGAGAAGGCCCCCCAATTGAGAGGGTCATATATTGAGCACCATGGAGGCAGCACTGCAGGAGTGCTCCAAAGTTGACCCAACAGGTCCTGCTAGGGGAAGAAACTTTGAT